GGCGGGTGACGAACGCTGCGTTCATTCGTGTGCGGCTCTTCTTGTTTCGGCACGTTCTCCAACCGGCTTTCCATTTCGCTCCTAGAAATGGCTTCTATATGAATATTTGGATGTGCGAGCTTTGCTTTCGAATCTTTTCCAGTGATATCGGTGAGGGCACGGCGACAGTTATTCTCACTAATGAAGTCTATGTAGGCACTAGTTTGCTCTGGCGGAACCATGCGAATGGCGTCTCCGGGGATAAGTACTGATGGAAAAAGCCGAAGCACTTCAGAGTATATCAGGTAACGGGAAAGGCCTGAAAGAAATGCGCAAGTCAGCGGTTCGCTCTCAGTGGACTTATTGGACTCCACAGGCAACGCATCAGATGGCTTTTCTGTCTTGGGTATATTAGTAGTTGACTTACTATCCACATTATGGACGGAAAAGGCTTCAAACTGCAGTCGAGAAATCGGTGAAAGCCGAACAGGTGGAAAAGCTCCATCGGGGCGTAAGGGACGAGGCTTCGCTGACAGCAATATTTGTATGTCCTTCGCAGAGGGGAGGATAACTAACGCTCGGACAGACTTTGGATTTGCGGGTGCAGCCTTATCAGAAGGTGCGAAAGTAGCAATGACTACATCACCAGGTGAGAGTCCAGGAGCCCCAAGAAACCGGACAACTTCCGGACACGTGGTGTCCGGTGGTAGTTCGGCAACTTCCAGACAACCATCGGCATAATACGGTGGTGTAAACCTCTCTCCAGGAGATGGGAGCTTTTTAATGATTTCCGGTGGACACTTGCTGCGAAAATTGGAATCCGTAACCCGATAGAATTCAGCAAGGTTAGACTGGATAACCTTTACATTTTTACCTTTATACGGTCGCCCATCATAAGATAAAGCACGATCAAGAGATTCGCGATCAGTCACCATGATGAAAATATAGCCGGTCGGCCTTTGTAAACTGTCTTCTTCTATGCGAATACCCCATTTTGGAACAATGTGGACACCTCGCAATATATCGAATACGGGCTTCACACCCACCTCCGACACGGGCACAGCAAGACGAACAATAAAGTCAGTCTCCATAGGTGGTGTGTCATGAGCTACTTTAGCGGTTGGTGGGGGAGGGGGTACGCGTTTTTTGTGAACACCATAATCATCAAATTCTGGCTGCGGTTGAAATGGACGCTTGGATCCGTGATGAGTCGCATCTTCGTTTAACCATGGGGGTCTGACGGAAAAGTCTCGCTCGGTGAGCCCTCGGGGATCCACAAAAGGTGGTTGCTGACGATCAAATGACGGCGGGGGGCGATTTCGGTCTGGAGGCTGATATGGCGGGTAAGTAGGTTCAGCGCGAGAGATTTCAGGTTCACGAGGGAAGCCATCACGAAGGGCATGATCAGGAAGCGGCCTTGGAGGTGTCTGTGGTTTGTCGTACTCATGCCGCGGATCAGGTACGTTGCGAGCATAGCGAGTATTGCCATAAACACTCCGTGGATCCTCTATAGAGGGATCCTTTGAAGGAGCACTAAGTCGGTTGTCAGATGTGCGACGGTCATACACAGGATCGTCATAATATGACCTATAATGGTCCGGTGGGGGGTTGCTTGGCCCGGAATGGTCCCTCGGTGGTGGGTAATCTGGAACTACAGGTAAGCGGTCATGAACTTCGTCATATCGCACAAAAGGGGCGTGTGGTTGATGATTATAGTCATAATCTCGACTTAGAGGCAATGACTCTGGTGCGATCGATCTTTCGGGAATTCTCGGCGGGAGTCCGACGTTGGATGCTGCATACAAATCAGACACTGGCGGATCAAGCGGATGAACAGGTGGGGGAGAAGTTGAATGTTGGCCTGGGTAAGAGAACTGATCTGAGCGTCCTTCAGAAAATGAATCCCTTGTAGTTCCATTACGATAAGACGGAAACGAACTGGGTAATGTAGGTGCAGTCACGTCCATCGCCTGCATGGCTTCGGTTTTTTGTGGAACTGGCGGGAGAGACGGAGTGGTAGCAATCCCAGTGTAAAGAGCAGAACTTCTAGCTGATTCGATAACAGATTGCATCTCAGTTTTGCTACTAAGGAAAAGACGAACCGGCGCCCCGTTAATAGTCTGTCGATCAAGTAGCATAGCTTTGCGTGCATCCTCATCAGTAGCAAACGCTATGAATGCATCACCATCGTTACCACCTACTATGTGCACACCGCCCTCGGGAATCGCCAAACCGACAAAAAACCTGCGTATATTGGACGCATTGGCTGACATGGGAAGGTTCTGGAGACGAATTATGACAGACATCGCTGCAACTGGAGAAATAAAACGAGTGAGAAATTCTCTAAAACCGCAAGCACTAGCTGAAATAAAGATATCAAACCAATTCATATTTAACCACAAGCTATAGAAAACCTCTTAGCTACCGCGACAGTTAACCCGGAGATGAATGAAATGGCTGGCATGTAATACGAAAAGGTTCAAAACATTATGGTTGTAGTTGACAGAATAATAACCGCTGAACACTTTCAAATTCTCTGATGCACAAAGTGATTTGCAGTCATGAGGGATAAACCCGTCATGAGCGACAATCTACCAGAAGAATTAGGGGAACCATCACCGAGAAACCAGTTTCTTGAACCTGCTTCAAACGTTTTTAGCCACTGACCTCGTGAGGCGGTTTTGGCTGCTACCTGTTGACTGCTCATTATATATATATATATATATATATATAATAACAGTTGATCAGGCCAGGTCAATCAAGGGCCTTGCTTTCAGAAATTGTTGCACTGTAAGAATGTGATCACCTTTGAGCACAGCGACCCGGAAGCAGTGAGTTTATTGTTGAAAACCCACATTTGAGCAGGCGAAAATCAATAAGCTGGTGACGCGGCGGTCGCTGAAGGACACGAATTCTACAAATTTGCCGGTGAACCTTGCTGGTGGACAGCCCATCCATTATGGTATGGATATTAAGTGAACACACGAGAAGAAACTAAGTGGCAATATATTCCAGTTTCGGTTATATATATTTCACACTTGTCTGAGGACAGACTGTGCCAAACAAATCATGGTACAATAATCTTTATAAAAGAAAAATGTTCCATGATTGGCTTGTGAGCTGATTACTGCCAGGTTGCCCAGGCCAAGGCAGGTGAATTTTCTTGAGGAATCCACAACCGGAGCCTTCGGCTAGCCAAAGCCTGACCCGCAAGGCAGCGGGGCGGTGTGCGAGAACCGCAGTCCATTGGGAGCCGGTGTCCAATTCATCGGATCATACGCCCTTCGGACGGGGTCAGACGTCCAAGGTGCCCAATACACCTCAATGCCCAATGGAGCCGGTGA